TTTTAAAAAAAAAAAAAAAAGGTCACTTACTTTTATCATATAAATCCACTAAAAAGAATTCGTACCAAAAATTCACTTCATTTTTGCCAAGTTAATAAAAAATTCAGACTATAATTCGCAAACTAATGTCAATCTATATACGGATACGGCCTAAAAATGTCACTCAAGTAACAGAAATGGCTTATCTATGTCATCCGTTAAAAAGTTGGTTCATTCATGCCACTAACGTTATACTATTAGCACATTCATGTCACTCAACTAACAGAAATGGCCTATTTATGCCATCCGTTTAAAGGTTGGTCCATTCATGCCGGTCACATTATACTTTTGGCCCATTCATGCCATTCAACTAACAGAAATAATCTATCTATACCATTCGTTTAAAAGTTGGTCCATTCATTCCACTGACATTATACTTTTGGCCTATTTATGCCACTGTCTACTAACAGTTCTATTTTCTGATTTTTCCGTAATAAGAATTAATTTTTCGACCCCGACTTTGCCACGTGTCTTTATATTAGTGGTTCTTCTTTACTTGACCCTACATTTCTTTTAACCATGATTATGTATAATTAACCATGCCCAACTCGATAAAATCCAACTAGTCGTGATGACACCTAACCCAACCCGCTAGATAAGCTAATTAACAACTATCCAATTTTGGGTTAGGTGTTAGTTGTTAATTGGCTTATCTAGTGGGTTGGGTTAGGTGTCATCACGACTAGTTGGATTTTATCGAGTTGGGCATGGTTAATTATACATAATCATGGTTAAAAGAAATGTAGGGTCAAGTAAAGAAGAACCACTAATATAAAGACACGTGGCAAAGTCGGGGTCGAAAAATTAATTCTTATTACGGAAAAATCAGAAAATAGAACTGTTAGTAGACAGTGGCATAAATAGGCCAAAAGTATAATGTCAGTGGAATGAATGGACCAACTTTTAAACGAATGGTATAGATAGATTATTTCTGTTAGTTGAGTGGCATGAATGGGCCAAAAGTATAATGTCAGTGGCATGAATGGACCAACTTTTAAACGAATGGTATAGATAGATTATTTCTGTTAGTTGAGTGGCATGAATGGGCCAAAAGTATAATGTCAGTGGCATGAATGGACCAATCTTTAAACGAATGGCATAGATAGGCCATTTATGTTAGTTGAGTGGCATTTTTAGGCCTTTTCCGATCTATATATATAAGAGAGACATTGATCAGGTGACGTGGCATTCTTCTGAGCGAGGATTTCAACTTATCTTTTCTCTCAAATTTTCACCCTTTCTCTATTATTTTGCCTCTTTCCTATTTGTTAAAAATATGTTTTATCCTTCCGTTCACTAAAAAGTTGTGTCCTTTCATTAACCCTTTCCATTAAATCTCACTCAATTAATCATCTTATGTTACTTTTCTCACAACCCAAACGTGCACAATATAACCCGAATAGGTATTCCCTTTTCTCGCTCTCCGGGTAGGGGTAAGGTCTGCGTACACTCTACCCTCCATATACTCCACTTGTGGAATTTTACTGTGTTGTTGTTGTTGTTGTTGAATTGTTTACATATGAACCTCTAGCATAATATACTGCAATTTTATAATGTGCTGGAGTTCCATCATAATATACTGGAAGTTTATATGTAGGAGCTCCATAATCCAGCATATTATGCTAGAACTTTCCGTGTGTTGGAGTTCCAACATAATTTGCTGGAAGTTTATACGCATGAGCTCCATATTACATCATATTATGCTGAAATTTTTCGTGTTTCAGCAAAACAATGCTTATTTTTTAATGACTTTGCAAACGCTGATTATTTTTCAATTACCAATTCGAAAACTGACTAACCCGTGCTATTTTGACAAACTTATTGGCTTAGTTTGCTTTTAATGTTTGAGTAGATACTCTGTCAAAAGTGGCTCCTAAAGTTTTGTTAACTCCCAATTGCGATTTGCCTCCAATTAGCCATTTTAAGCCTTACGTATTGCCGTCAACATAAATTAAAATTATTTGGGGATATTATTCGGAGTACTTTATTCTATTGTAAGGTGCAAATCCGAATTTAGTCAAGCCCAAATACTAAGTATTGAATAGAGCTTAGATTACTATTAAGTTTTTTGCACCACATATATCTTAAAACAAACTTTTAAAAATAGAGGAATTTTAGTAGGCGTTTGTACATGACAAATGTCAAAAATCTTGAACTTTTTAGTGAGTAATGTCCAAATATTTTCTTACTAAAGTCAATTCATTGCCCGAACACCAATCCAAATATTTCATAGTAAGAGGTCAACTTCATTGCCCGAACACGATTGGTGCGTAGGTGCTACAATATATATATATATATGGCCGGGAATAATCTTGTATCTTCACGATAGAACTAAAAGATATATATGAACGATGGAACTAAAAGATACAATCAAGTTAAACAGTCATTGTTAAATGATGCACTCCTCAAGACAGATTTCAAGAGTAAAGAGACGCACACCTTAACCTAAACCGAAGCACTACCTAAGTGAGGTGCTTCAAACTTCTAGACTTTAGCGTGCCTCAAAAGAACCTCCAACTATATTATTGTATCAATGTGATTTATCCTGGAAAATTTTCACTTTCAAATCGTCCAAATCATGCACCGTAGAGATAATTTGTATGCTTTAGTCAACTTCTTGTGCATAACAAGATTTCATTATCGTACTCTCAGTCCAAATAGTTACGAGTTATAACCTGTTTGGTTTCAACCTATCACATCCCAAATGTAACATGAAAGGCACTCGATAGGCCTAAACTTCAGGCGAACCATAACATTTTAGACAGCCTTCAAGCAAGCATTACCAGTATCTAATGAAAAATCAGATGAAGCGTTCCCTGTAAGACTATCCATAATTTAAAGTCTCAGCTAAACTTCACGTAACAACAACATGCATCAAGAGTTACCCATTACACCATATAATATGTCCCAACATCAAATTTATAATATCAATAAACCATAGATGAAGCACAAAGTATTGGATATGACCCCGATATACATAGTCGTAACAAACCTTAGTATTAATTACTGTTACAACCCAAGGGAGTCCATGGAGCAACTCTAAAGTTCAAAACAACATGATTAAGCAAAAGAAACTCCAAGTATAGCACCCACAGATGAGAAATGGGGCTCACCAAAACAATCCTCTCAAACCAACAATACCTCAACCGTCGAGTGGCGTCTCAACACCTGGATCTGCATATGTAAAGTAAGGAGTGAGTTCCCAGACTCAACAAGTGATAACTATATCAAAGCTAAGGATTTCATAAACTGCTATAGTAACATACACAACATCATGTAGCCTTGATTCAGATGCACATTTCATCAATAGGAAAATCACAAAATAATGAATGCAAACTTTGATACCTTGATATAATGTAGTGCTACTTAGGTTAGGTAGCTGCCTATAGCCTTGGTAACAGTAATACTTACGGCTTCTCCTAGGGTAGCCTAATAACCTTGATAAACATAGCTACCTAACAGGTAACACATATGACATATCCTTTCATTGACAAAGATATATATCTTTTAGGGAAGGAGTTATAGTTATTTTACATCATCCAAATATATATATATATATATAAGAAAATAATTTCAAATATAATATGAAAATGTACTATAGTTCAAAGGTAACACGAATATATTATAGTTTTCAAGGAATGTTTGGTTAATATTTTTTTTCACCCGCTAGGCTCCTAAATATTTCAGATTTTAAAGAAATTTAGAAAATTGCAATCAAGTAATTAGCACTACTTACCTTAAAATTTTAAAAAATTTCCTATTACAACAAAGAATTAAAAAAAATAGAACTAATTGCAACCAAGTTAGCACCGGTTGGGTTAAAATTGAAATATTGTTCGACATATAAACACATGTTCAAGTCTTTTGAAATGAGAATCAAATAAGAAAATAATTTATATAAGGTAGTATATTAATCGATAAAAATCAAAATTTTAGTTTGAGTTTCAAGTCATAAATACTAGGAAAACAATTAAATTTACAATTTTGTCCAATGTAAAATAAGTTTTAAAGGGTAAAAAAAAGGTGAAAGACATTTTGCTTAGGGCCTTTGGTACTTTTAATATATATATTAATTAATATAGATAAACTACTTAAGTTTTTTCAAAAATTTAGTGAAACCTCCAAAGCAATAATGAATTATTCAACTACAATATATACAAGCCTTGAAAATACTTATTCTTTACAATTATGACTTGATTACTCATTTTTTATTACCTATTCCGAAAATAATTTGATTCACGTAATCAAAGCATCCAGTCATCCAAATGTTACAATATTAATCAAGAATATACAACAAAAACATACCCAGTATATTCTCACAAATGGGGTCAGGGGAGGATAGTATGTACGCAGACTTTACCCCTACCTTATGAAGGAAAAGAGGCTGAAGAAACTAATCAAGAATATAAAAGTTAAAAAAAAAAAGTAAAAACAAGCCAATGAACTGCAATTGACGAGTATATCTTTAATTTGTGAAATGAAAAACTGAGTGTAACTTGAATAAATATATGCTTAAGTTTCATATATAAGCAATTATTGAAAGTTCGTTCTGGAATATAATGCTTATACTCACCTGGATGATTTTAGGATACGAATATCCAGTGGTTTGTTTCCGATGTCTTCTTGTTCTTGTTGAATTTGTGCAGCAGAAGCCTCGAGTTTGGGCATACAGTTGTATAACTCAATTAGTTGTAGTGAGTTGATATATGCAAACTCAATGGGCATCTCTGCCAAGAAATAGCAAGATCTAAGCACAAGGCATTCAAGGGCAGGGAAATTGTCATCTGTGGCTTTCCAGTAGTTGAGACTTGTACTATCAATTAGCAAAAGCTTCAACTGAGTAAAACCCCCAGCAACTGGATACCATTCATTGTCATGAATAACACTTAGCACCTTTAGCACCTCAAGGTTAGGCAATTCACTTATAATGTTCATGTCCTCCCACCTTAGACAAGTTCCATTTAACTCCAATTTCTTGAGCATTGCTGGAAAAGATTTTGCACTTGGAATAGTCGCATCTCCAAACTTCCACGGGGTAAGAAGTCCAAACCTCAATTTTTCAAGTTGATGTAGATGGACAAGATTGTCGAAAAGTCTAGAATCTTCACAGTCATCTTTATCTCCATAGATTCCTAATTTTTTAACATTTCGAATCCCTGAAATAACCTCCTTTGTACAACTACGTGCAGACAGCCCATAAATAGTTTGTACGTTTGAAAGGACCAAGTACGAACTCTCTTCCTCAGCAGATACACTTGGAGGATTTGGTAAATAAAATGCATTCAGTTTGAGATGCCTCAATTGCATTAGTTCCCAAATTTGCTCGGGAAATATTATACATCTCGAACTAGACCCTTTAACTATGCATGTTTGCAGATTCCATAACCTGCAAACTTCTGGAGGTATGTCAATTAAACCCCCGGACAACGCTAGGTACCTCAACCAAATGAGGCATAGTATTTGTGAAGGGAAAGACTCCACCTCTATGGGACTCAAGTCCAAGGTTCTGAGTAATTTGAAATGAATAATCTCTGATTCCAGAGTAAAATTTGGTAAAGGACAATAATTGGAAAGAGAGATAATAGAACGAGTTCGTTTCAAGAAATAATTGTTATCATCAACATCATCATCTCTCTGCCCCCTTATCAAATGATGAAGTTCAGGGGTAAGAAGGGCCCTATAGTAACCACAATGAATATCATCATGTTCAGTCCATCGTTTACAGGGGCCTATTTTATGCCTGCTAAGATGACGACATTTTGGAGGAACAGGATTTGGTTCATCATCAAGATCAAGTACAATGTCGTGACTTTGAGCTATTTCATCCGAACCATCATCTTCATCCAAATCGAGGTAATGAAATACAATATCATTCATGATAAAATTTTGGCTTTGAGCTTCTCTCAAGCATAGCTCATATATCAGATCATGAACCTTACATGATTTAATTTCTGTTTCATCCCATTTTTTCTCACAGACAAGAATTAGACACCTGTCGACAAGATCTTTTAAACACTTCGCAGCCTCCCCTTCAAAGTCTTTTTCCAACTTCAAAAACCCCTCAGCTATCCATAATCTCACCAACCTCTTCACCAAAATTTCTCTGTCTTCTGGAAAAGCTCCAAAATACAGAAGGCATGCTTTTAGGTTACTGGTCAAGTGATTGTAACTCAGCCCAAGCACATGTAAACATTGTTTATCAGGATCATTTGTGACAAACGACATGACATCTTGAGCAATATTTTCCCAATCTTCTATTGTCCTTTCAGATTTGGATAGAAGCCCAGCAACCACAACAATGGTTAGCGGTAACCCTTGGCATTTGTCGACAATTTGCTTCCCAATAGTCTCATATTCAGATGGCAATTCTTCATTTGCAAACGCCGCACTTTTGAAAAGGTTCCAACTCTCATATGGATCCATGAAACTCATCTGTAAAGAAAAATTCTCTGTACCAGCATAACAAGCTACATCAGTGTCACGGGTAGTCAACAATACTCTGCTCTCATTGTTTTCACTTGGAAAGCATTGTCTCACGTCATCCCATGCTTTACTGCTCCACATGTCATCCATGACAATTAAATATCTCCTGCTTTTTAAACTCTTTTGTAGCATATCTGCTAGCTCTGCCTCATCTTCCATGTAAAATGTGTCACCCATTCTAGAACGGAGAAGGCTTAGCAAGATTTCTTTTATATTGTGATGGCTAGATACAGTAGCCCAGGCACGAACATCAAAATGAGATCGAATGGATACGTCATTATAAACTTCTTTTGCTAAAGTTGTTTTACCAATGCCCCCCATCCCCAAGATCGGGATGACTTTCAGTTCACCAGAAGAGCCCCTTGTCAGATCTTCTAACAACCTTTTCCTTTGATCATCACGTCCCACCATATTCTTCTTAACATTCAAAACATCTTTTGCTGAACTTGAACCTTGAACCAAAGATTTCTTTGATGCTTGTTTGCCTTTCTGTTGAATCTTCATGGACTCTTTCTGGACACGACTAATGTCCTCAGCTACTTGTTGCAGGCTATCACAAAACATCTCGCGTGCCGTTTCTTTCTGCATTTCATCATTTGCCATTACAGCTTCTGTTAGTCTCAGCTGAATTGTGTATTCAACAACATTTGCAACTTCTTTTATCCATGCTTCCAAATCTGTCATTTCCTCAGACACATTGCTTCTCTCAGAGTTCTTGAGGAAAACTTCCAGGGAACTAACTTTTTCATTAAGAGTGAGGATTTCTTCTCTGTGATCACAAATTAGAGATTGTATTGGTGATTTCAACGTCAAGAGCAGTTCTATCGTTCTCATAAGAGAAGCAATACTAGCATAAGCCATATCTACTGTATCTGTGTCCTATGAGATTATGACCTGAAAGCTGCATGTTGCAAGAAGCAAGTGGCGTTACACATAAAATGATATTTGCAAAAGGGAGGCAAAAACAGCGGATCAGATAAATTTCAGGCTTCACTTATCTCAAGTTCTCAATCTCCTTTGTACTGATCTAGACTTGTATAATTAATACTATTATATTCGTAGCTTTTATTCAGGTCATGTATGCTGCTACACACGAGTTTACACTTTTGCGGTATATAATCTTTAGACTTTACTCTCTAACCCTTGAGAAGGGTATGTGCAATTTGTCATGCATCTATTGGTTTGGTGTAAATACCCGACGTGGGTAAGTTTTTACGTAAATAGAGTAATAACCTTTGGAAGTCGCTAATACCTATATTTACTGGTCATTAGTACATGTAAACGATATTTTTATTTGTGAAATCTCTTATAACAATATGTATCGTATTCCCACTTTTTTTATATAGTTTTCCTTCACCCTCAATTTTTTAAATACTTTTGTACTGTTTCAAAGAAAATTAAATGCTGTGATTCCATAATACTTTGAACATGAAGTTCTCTACTTTTCTTTAAAAAACAAAATCGATCAATCAACTATATATGTCGCAATCCCAAACTGCTTGAATCGGCTATATGAATCCTCCGTATTCATTCTGCTCTATTTGAAACATTTTTATTGGAATACAGGTAAATAAGTTGTATATTAAGGCAAATTAAAGGCTTATAACTAGAGATTTTATAAATCTCACACTTACCTCGAATAACACCACAACTCCTAGGAAATATCAGATTAAATGTAAGTACAATAATGACAAATTTTTAATTTCTACTTGTAGGTATCATCTATATGGATCTTTACTTCAATAATATTCTATGCTTAGCAAAATCAACATTAATGTTTGAATACCGTAGTGATTGGACCACATATGAGTTCCGAATTTTACCTATACAATTACAGCATGGTTGAGTTTGTTTGTTAAAAGAATCATCACATTAAAAATTGAAGTTGGATTAGCTAAATGAATTTGAAATCCTGAAAGTTGTATAAGTTATAGTATAGACTAAGATGATCAGTTAAATGTTTCAAACTTCTTAGATGTCAAAAAATGGAAAAGGTATGTATCACGATAATATTGTTTATCGTGAAGGTTTTATTTTTCACAATATAAAAGGTTTCAATTATTGATTTATTCCATATTGCTTAGGGCATTTCAAAAATTATTCTGCTGCCGCTCTTTAGTAGAATATGGTAATAATATTCTGGAAAGGACAAAAGGAAAAAGTCTAAACAGCAGCAAATTTAAAATTTAAAATAAAAAGGACGGAATATCTCAATGGCAAATATAGCTTTTAGAAAAAATTATTCTCTCTATCAGATGGAGCAGTATTCCTACCAAATCAGGCCTATATTTTACGCAGATGCGAATTCAGGATTTTAAGAGGATGGATGCACTATTATAAATAGACGGATTTAGAATTTAAATTTGATGTTCAACCTTTAGCTTAATTGAAATCATTACACTATTGAAATTATAGGTTTACATTTTTTAGACATTTTCGTGATTTTTCCAAAATCTGTACTCCATGTCGAAAATTTGGTAGTCGAACCCATTAATTGGCTCTATATTACATCCTCAATTACTACTAGTTTTAAGATAAGACATTTCGTTTAATTATTAAAAAAAATTGTTATTACATAAGAAGAACAGGGATTTCAATAGACTTGGAGATTTTAAAAAATAAACCAAATAAAGAAAGAAAAACAAAGAAAAAAGTTCTTAATCAAAAAGCAAGATGGACAAGAAAATTAAATCCTTGAGCACCCATTAACGATTACACCATATGACTCTTTGAGCTTGGGTGCGCACACATATATTTATATTATTTTAAAGTAATATAACATATATGCATGGTTCAAGGAGGAGAGCATGGTGCACGTGAACCTGCTTTCATCCCCGTAGATACGCCCATGTTCTCAGAAGCGGATCTAGGATTTAAACTCTAAGCGTTCAACCTTTCAGGTTTTTAGTAATGAATCTATTATATTTTTAAAGTTATGGGTTCATAGTTACTATTTGTTATAACTTTACTAGATTTTTATACATAAACTTGTATTCTGTGTCGAAAGTACTAGGTTCAGATTAACCCGATATTCCTACACTTTGTATATAACTTGATTGTTTTTCATTCCTTGGCCCAATATTAAAGACTCACTTCTAGTTTGAAAATTTGAGTTGGACCTTCGAACTCGAAGAACACTGAAGCTCCATTGTTAAAATCCTTATTGCTGGATTGGAAGAGTGGATCGAAATTCATGGTTAAAGTAGATATTGGATCTACGAGTTTTGTTGGGTTTACTGATACTTTGAGGTACATTTCATTGCTGAAAACGTAAGGTGAACACCAAAGAAATTAGAAAACCTCCATTGTTGGAGTTCAAGTTTCTCAAATCTCAAGTGAGTAAATTTTACAATTTTTTGTGCAATATGAGTATGACTTTAATAGTAACCCATGAAATTTTCTCTAGTTTTTACTATTCTTTGTGATGAAAAACTTTCTAAAGTACATCGATAATAAATATAGTATTAATATTCGACATAAAATTAAAAAAATTACGCCGCATAATGCACCCTATGTTCTCTTTAGTGGCACTTTCAATCAGTAATATTCGGAAATGGAACTATACGTGAAACTTCGGGCCAAATTAATCTCCAAATAGAAATTAAGCAATAGATTTCCAAGTTGAAATATTAGTAAGATGCTAGCTCATGTTACATTCCAATAATGATTTATTTTGTTTCAGAAGTGAATTGCAAATGTTGATGTATTATTACTAATCTGTAGGTACTTTTGTCAATAGGTTAAAAGAAACAAATACATTGCAAATAAAAACCAATAACAATATTATAATATATGAGCAACAGAAACTCTGTAACAGTCTCAAACGCAAATCTATAATTTCCTTGCTTTTATTTCCCGTTAACATCTTGATATAACTTTTAGGACCTCTATGGTTATGCATTTTACAAAAGGAACTTTTCTCAAAAGAAAAAAATGACTTCATTCACCAATTTTCAATAATTCAATGACCATTTATGCGAAGGCGAGCTGTGGCGTAACTGGTAAAGTTAACCAGCGGGTCACGGATTCGAGCCGTGGAAACAGCCCTTTGCAAAGATGCAAGGTAAGACTGCGTACAATAGATCCTTGCGGTCCGGCCCTTCCCCGGACCCTGTGCAGAGCGGGAGCTTAGTGCACCGGGCTGCCCTTTTAATGACCATTTAAGCAATAAACTTGTACAATATAAATGACATATAGTGCAAGGAGATAAAACATTAAACAAGAGCAATTAAGGGCAACTAACCTTTCAATGGCAATCAGCAATACAGGAGTTGGGAAGCAGCAATTCACTGCAACAAATATACACATGTATATTATGAATATCAACAAACAAATGGGTAAAGCTCACAAAAGATACAGTGCGTAACCAAAGGAACAAGGAACTGAGAAAACGAAGGAAAATAGCATATCTCTAAAGGGCTGCAAAGGTTTAGGCAACCAAGTTACCAAGGGAATTCTATATAAAGAACAAAAGAGTTGACTTTATGTGAATTCCATGACAGTTGAATTAGGGAATATAATATTATAACAAATGGGCATAATATATTATAAGGCATGTTGGTTATAACTTATAAGTAGAGGCAGATCCAGAAATAGAAGTTTATGAATTCTTACGGCGGCCTCAAATTAATATATAATAATAGTTTAGTTCACAGTCAAATATTTAGTAGATTTCTCAAAATATATATAAGGTCTGGGTAAAAGCTATTGAGTTCACATGTAACCCATAGATTTCATTATAGTTCGGCTTCTGATTATATAGCACCTTCACATTAGCTGGTCTATGAGGATTGGAGATTAATAAATCAAAGAAATATGTGAGATTACAAAGAAGATAGCATGCATACCTCTGAGTTGCTAAAATCGTGTCTACGATCATGTTACCATCAAATAAATTTTATATAAGGAAAGAAAGACTTGACTTTGTTAAATGGGATGACAACTTCAATTAAGAAATATAATATTTATAGGCCACATGGGTGTTAGTATTTTATAAACCAGGTTGATTGTATATCAACTTTACATTAATTAATTTTGATGGAGAAAGTCCGTATCCACATTAGATTAATAAAATTTGATGGCTAACTAAAGATTATGTAAGCAAATGTGGTGGCCAATTGTCATAATTCAAAACTTCTCATTTTGTTTTTGCTTTCAAGAGTTCTTTACTAATGTTTTCTATTCTTTTTCAAAGAAATAACTATAGCCCCTATAGAAGAACACTAGAACAGCAATTCTCTTCCCAATATCCTTTTTTTTAATTTTTATGATTCCCTACCTCCAATCCTCACCCAATCACTACGACAACTCTGAAGCCAAGGATGGCAATTTGACAATATTTGGTACAACAAATATGTGTAATATTGAGAGAGAATTAAGTAGTGATAGAAAAAAATAAAAAGAAGGGAAAATGTTCAAATTCACCTGAACAATCGGATTACTTTGGGCTCCATCAAGCACATTTTGTTCATCAAAATTGCACTTAAACTGGCACGTGATAAAAGCCATTTTCCCCTCTTCTCCATGTTTCTCAACATTTCGCCGGAAGATGTGGGAGTTGTTCGCCGGAACGAGATCCATCGCCAGAGGCGGCGGTAGAGGTGGCGGAGTTGTTTGCCGGAGCGGGACATCCGACCACGTCGGTAGATCGGCGATGGAGGTGTGAGGCATTCGTACAGGTGTTGCTCTCTCCATTGTTAAGAGTTTGTGTTTGTCCGGCAGCTGAAGAGTGCTGTGTTTTTCTATTTCTTTTTTGTTTTTTGTTTTCCACATGTCAGTAAAAAGTAATTTCACGAATGGTTATATTATATTTACTTTATTGCGTTAAAAGTGCTAAAATATTTTATATAAAAAAAAAGGTCACTTACTTTTATCATATATAAAGCCACTAAAAAGAATTGGTACCAAAAATTAACTTCATCTTTACAAAGTTATAAAAAAAAGCTCAGAATATAATTCGCAAATTAATGCCAATTGTATTTAAATAAGAGAGTTAATCATATGTCAATGGTAAATACAAAAAAGAAAATTGCATAATCCTTATTCCTTATGGGAGCCCTTTGAAGATTATTTTGAGAATTATTTTGCTTAATTAAAGAAGCACAATTTAATGGCTTGGTTTACTTTAATGTTTGATTAGATATTCTATCAGAGGTAGATTCTAAAGTTTAATTAACTCCTATTATTTTTAGAAAGAAAAAAAAAACTCCTATTATTTGCCTCCTATTAGCCATTTTAAGCCTTACCGCATTGCAGCCAACTAAAAAAAATATTGG